CTTCTACCACCACGCCCTCCCTCCATCCCAGCCACTGAAAATCTCTCCCAAATACAGGCAGAGGCATAGAATCAAAATCTGCTGAAGTATTAGTACCGCTTTAGTAAATCTTTAGTAAGTGTAAAGAGGGTAGTGTAAGTGTAAGAGGGTAGAACTGCCCTCTGCAGAGGAGTGCAACGGACCAGACAGCATTGCTTAGCAAAAACACAGATACTCTCAGAATCTGCACGTTGTTAGAAAAATTTTACTTGTAGTAAAACAAACAAACTTGGCTTCTTAAAACAAAGATAACACTTCTTCAAATAATCAAGGTTTAACACAAAACAAAGTTTGCTTACAATTCCAGTTCCTTCAGTAATACAGACACAGTTCCTTTCAGCAGTTCAACCTTCTAATAGCAGGAGCAGAAGTGAATGAACTTCCTGCCTTCTTTTATGTCTGTTTAGCCAATTAATCAATTAGTCATCTTGTAGCAGTTAAAGTTACAGAACATAGTTTTCTATATATTATCTACCCAACCGTAGGATAAGGATCCAACAGTAAGTCCACACCTGGAATACTACAACTAATTTTGGTCACAGGTGTTGAGACTTTGAAAAAAGTTTGGAGAACAACGAAGGTGACCAAAGGCCTGGGGACTAAAACATATGAAGAATGGTTGAAATGGTTGAAGTGGGTGGAATGAGTTCACATCTGACTCAGTTTCATATTGTACAATGATGTCTTGAAAACCATGGAATGGGAAAACATTAGTACGGTAGATTTTTCTACGAAAGAAGCAAGCAAGGTGGGAACATTTCTCCTGAAAAAATCCTGGCATTTTCATAATATTTATTTATTTATTGCTTTGATTTATATGCCACCCTTTTCCGGAGATTCAGGGCAGCTTACAATGTGTTAAGCAATATCCTTCATATTTTTGTATATATCTGCTTAGTAGGGCTTTCGTCCCCCCCAAGCAGTGTTCTTTTTTATACAAAGTCATTGCTTTGATTTATATGCCACCCTTTTCCAGAGACTCAGGGCAGCTTACAATGTGTTAAGCAATAGCCTTCATATTTTTGTATATATCTGCTTAGTAGGGCTTTCGTCCCCCACAAGCAGTGTTCTTTTTTATACAAAGTCAGCTTATTGCCCCCACAAACCGGGTCCTCATTTTACCTACCTCAAAAGGATGGAAGGCTGAGTCAACCTTGAGCCTGGTGAGATTTGCAGTAATTGCAGGCAGCTGGTGTTACTTAACGGTGCTTTATTCTACTGCGCCACCAAGGCTCTTCCTAATTATGTAATTGTACACCTATGGAGATAATCCATGGGACATTAAATTTAAGCCTTTTGCCTCTTTCTACAACTTGGAATATATTTTTGGTCTTTTAAGTGTTTGCACTCTGAGTCATAGTGGGGACATCCAGGCAATGTCTCCATTTACCTGAGGACCCCAATCTCCCCCCTCCCCCCGTGGCTCTTCCCTCAGAGCAGTGGTGGGTTGCTACCGGTTCTCCCTGGTTCTTGCAAATCGGTAGTGGAAATTTTGAGTAATTTGGAGAACCGGTAAATACAACCTCTGCCTGGCCCTGCCCCCAATCTAGCCGAGTCCCAGCTGATCGGGGAGAAGGAAAAAATCAGGGCTCACTTGACAAAGAAGAGGGAAAAAAACCAAGACACCTTAGCTTTAAATTGAGAAGCCTTCCAACTGATCCCCTAGATCCGATCCACTCCTGGTGGTAGATTGGCAATTGAGGCCAAGCTGCCTGAAAGCGGGTTCCGATCCTCTCGATGGTGGCAGAGAGGCTAAATACTGTTTAAACTATTGCTGCGGCGTTTCACCCTACAGCTGATCAGCGGTAAAAGGCAGTGTGGTGGTAGATCAGTGCAAGCAGCAGCAGAAGTAACAACTGAAGCCCATGGAAGCTTCCCCAAGAGAGGGGAGAAGTGGAATTGGGAGGGGAGGGTCTTGACAGGGATACTTTGGAGTTGGCTTGCTGTATTATGGGACAATAGCATTGATAAACCATATCAATGCTATTTGATTGGTATGTTTTCAGAGGAAACTCTTAGTAGCATGATTTCTGCTTTTTATCTTAATATAACCTTTTAAAAAACATATTTCCTGATTATTAACCTCCTTTCTCAATTTGAAAGGTTAATAAATTATTGGAAACAGTTGTTGCACAATGTAAATGATGCCCTATTTTATATACATTGAAGAGCTAAATGAAGAAACAGATAAATATGTAGGAGGGGGGAGAGTGGCATACAATGTTTTCTATGAAAGAAGCAAAAAATTACAATGTGGGAATAATGCTCATAAAATATTGGTATTTTTGTTAAAATTTTACTGATTATGTAATATTCAATATATACCTGATTGTCCAGCCAGGGATTCCACTCTTTCCCTTTGCAAATGTAGCCCTGAGCCAAATACCATCATTATTCTGAAGGGTTTTTGGAGGCCGAGGGCTTGACAGGGGATCCAGTGTGGGGATCTGGGAATCCTCCAATTCATTGGCCTCAGTGACTTCAAAGGGTCCCCTGGGGGTCTCCCAACAGAGAAGCCGGAAAGGGGCCCCTGAGAGAGGAGAGGGGACCAGAAGGAGGCCCAATTCGGTGTCTGACCCAGAGAAGGGAGTCTAGTCCCTCCCTGAGGACCCCAAAGACCACCACTCCCATGGTGGCTCTTCCCTCAGAGCAGCCTCTGTCTCCGTCTCCGCTCTTCCCGCCAAAATAGGCTCCTCCCACTCCTTTGAGACTCCAGGACTCCCTGCAGAAGAGCCGAATGCCGGGAACCCCTTTGTTTCCAGGGCTCCCGCCGACGTCCCCACCAGCAGCGGCAACAGGCGGAGCCCCTGGAAGCTTCCCCCAAGCCCCCTCCCCAAGAGAAGTGGAATTGGGCGGGGGGGGGGCTTGACAAGAATATTTCAGAGTTGGCCTGACAGAAATCGGTTGCACCAATGGGAAGCTTCGCTTCTGATGAGTCATCGGTCTCTGGGCAGACTTTCTGGTGATTTTTCTCTGCCGAGAAAGCCTTTGGAGCAGAAAGAGAAAGGGGGGCGGGGATCCGCAGATTGTGTACGGCGGAACTGGAGGGGGCCTTTCCGTGTTCAACTGGGGGTCCCCAAGAGGACCCAGGCGGGCCCTGAGCGAAGGAATCTCTCGGGGAGGCAAGGATTGTTGAGATGGGGAAATCCCAGGCTATGAGCCGATGAGGCCCCAAATCTAGAGATCTCCTCCAGCCACGGCTCACTTGTTTTTCCCACGACCCCCGTGACACGTGTCTGTAGCCTTCCAGTGCAGGACCCACTCTGGCTTTCCAGAGGCCTTTCTGTATGGCCCGTTTCCCTGACCTCCCGGGGAGTCTCACGGCTGAGAAGCATCAGGTGATGAGGATGTTTTTCCCATCCATCTCGGTCTTCCAGGGTCGTGGCCTCATTTTCCCCTCCACGCTTTTCTCTCCATCCTTAATGACATAATTCGGAATTACATGAATACTGAAGCTCGGTGATGGAGGTCTGAGTCTGCATTCCCATTTCTTGGAGAAATCTCTGTGTTTCTCCTGGGATTTATTTACACAAAGGTGAAACATCTGGATGAAACGTATCGCTGCAGGGAGACTTTTGTGGGACGTTTGGAGGATGGAAGCCGGGATTGCCCCTCCTGGCTCCCTCATCCCTTCCGGAAGGTGAAGGAGGAGAAACGTCAGAGGATGTGGCCCAGGCAACTCTGGTCCCAGTTTTAGGAGGATGTAGTCTACAATACAATTGAGGCGCGGTGGTGCAGTGGTTAGAACGCAGTAACTGCAGGCTTCTTCTGCTGATCACGGGCTGCCAGCAGTTTGGCAGTTTGGGTCTCACCAGCTCAAGGTTGACTCAGCCTTCCGAGGTGGGTGAAATGCGGACCCAGATGGTTGGGGGCCACATGATGATTCTGTAAACTGCTTAGAGAGAGCTATAAAGCACTGTGGAGCAGTATATAAGCCTGATATAAGCCATAAGCAATATAGGGATACCTTCGGTTCCACGAAGGCTCCGCACCCATTTGCACAACTCGGGTGACCCTGAGGTGGACCCAGATAAATCTGCAAGTGGACTCAAGGCCTCTCTCAAAGGATGCAAGTGACCGGCTTTCTGCAAGGAGTATGAATCCTTCCATTCCCCACCCTCCAGTTAGAGCTGAAGAAGCATCTTGGATAAGAATCAAAAGGTCTTCAAAGAGAAAAATAAAGTCCAGTTACCTCTTGAAAAAGCACCTTTGACACTCCTGGCTCTCTCTCTGTGTCTCTGTGTGGGCAGCGACTTCACCCCAGGTGGCAGTAGGGGGCGCTCTCTTGGCTGCGGACTGACGAGGCCACTGCGCATGCTCCACTCTGGCTGAGTTTTCTCTATGTTCCGGCTGAGAGTTGCTCCCTGGGAATCCGGTGGAAGCGGGCAAGAGGGGATCCCACGACTCAGATCCTGCCCAGGGGAGGGAAGGAGATTCTGAGGTTAGAGGGAGCGGGAAGTCTGCCCCATAATTGCTCTTGGCTGTGCATGCGGGGAGATCTATGAATTGGGGAGAGGGGAGGAGAGAAGGAAGCCTAAAGGAACCCTCCGTTTAGATTCAGATTCAGATTCCGAGGCTGGGAGGATCTTTGGAGAGCCAGCGGAGACCCGATACTGGCATTGCCAGTGGCTGTAAGATCCCTGCTGAGCCTGTCAAAGGTGAGGAGAAGCAGGAAGAGCTGCAGGTCAGAGAAGCTTCTTTTGTGGAATCTGAAGGGATCTTCACCTGCTTGAATTCCTTCATTTCTCCCTGAATTCCCCTATTGGGTCTCATCCATCGCCACTGATGGACACAAGGGTTTTGTGGGCAGAAAATAAAATGCAGCTCCTCTTTTGTCCTGTCCTCTTAACTGCTCTTCTTTGCTTATATTTCAGGTTCTGAGGTTCTCCCAGGAATGGGGAGGAATTCGCTGGATCCGCACAAATCTTTCTCCTGATCTGTCTTTCAGAGGGATCCCCAAGGATAAAAGTCCAGATCAGGATACCTCTCTAGGTAAGGGGAGACTGTTCCACTGGGTTGGAGACTTTCTAGAAAGAGTCTAGTTATCCTTAATTCTGGGTGTCTTGTCGTGTCTTAATCATTGGATTTAGTAGAAGTTGACCCAATAAGAAAGATCGAACTCTCTCTTCAAGCTAGAAAACTTAAGGCGCACAAAGGAATTCCCTCCCTTCAGAGCAAGGCTATGGTTGGTCTTTCCCAGAAGACCAACTCTTGTAGGGGCCACCTTGAGTTGCATTCTGGCTCCTCCTCCATCCTGAGAGATTTCTCTTTATTTTTGGCTTTCCTTAAAGAGATAATTTTGACTAAATTCCTACACGGATCCCTGCTGGGCCATTTCCAACACTGTCCTTGCAGGCATGTTTCCTGGTTTCTAGAATATCGCTAATTTCTCTGATTTCAAACTGCAGAGAGTGGGGGGGGGGATTTACAGTGATTGAGCAAATGCTTTGTTTGCCAAGAATATAAACTTCCATGTGTTGTTCCAAAAGGTTAGGAGAACAATCTAACCGAGGTTTGTTCTTCAGGAAGTGGTGCGTTTGGTCTTCTCCTTTTATTCTTGGCTCCCATGATGGAGCCTATGAAAGGCAGAGTGTTGAAGAGAGAAAAATGGAGGTTTCCTGGGCAGGACAGGAAGAAATCTTAAATTGTGCCTTCAAGCTAGAAAAGATGAAGTTGAACCCTTTCCTGTCTCTCTCCTTCCTAGTGGACAAAATGGAGTCACCTTCTTCTATTGGTGAAGCTGAAAGAGCCGCTGGATTCCTGACTCAGGTAGGAGGGAAGAGATTAGCACCTTATAGGGGGGAGGAGTAGGAGACCTCTGGTTTCCTTTGGGGGCTCAATCTATGATACTGCTATTCCTGAGCAAAGCACAACAAGGAAATTAGAAATTTACATTTACGATCAGTCAAATCGGCCCACCTCTCAACAAAGATTTGGAGGTCTATGGAATTCCTTAGTGGTTGTATTATTCTGGTTTCAAAAAATACAAGACAGCAGATTCTTGTTGCCTGTCCCAAGTAAAGCAGAAAGGAGACATGAATACTTAGGCTAAATCTACTGTATTTTAAGTATAATCTTCTTTTCCTATCATTGGGGAAAGGGATAAAAAAGGAGAAGCAGAAATTGCTTTGTGTATCATCTACATCTTGATGCCTGGAAGTGCCTCCCTAATATTTTCATGAATGTTTGTGAGTGGTTTTTTTTCAAGTAAACTTTTATTAGTTTATCAAAATATAAAATACAATGAAAAAAAAACATGGAAAAATAAGAAGAGAGGAAAAGAGGGTCTATAGTGTACTAGGAGAAAAAAAAAGGCATCAACTTTTGACATTCTTTGGTACAGTCGAAGGTAACAACATTACAACCATAACGTTTTGCTTTTACACAACATAATGTACACATTATTTCTATAACAATAAACCTGCCTAGTTTACAAAACAGAATCAAAGTTTCATTTTTTTTCTCATTGCAAACAGACAATCTGGAAGCAATTTCAAGGTAGAGACCAAATTAAATATAATCTCTTATTTGGAGAAAAGAATCATTTTAACAATCTCAGATTCTCCTTGCTGTGGGGAATAATATAGCATTCATTCTCATATTTTCAAATCTAGTCCATAATATTTTACCAACTTTAGAATATTGTTCAGCATTACTTAAAGGACCGGCAGACCTGTGTATACATACATACTTGTTTTAAAAACACAAAACTAACTTAAAGCTTTCTAACGGTACATAAATCAATTTTTAAAAAAGAAATCCATCCTAATTAATTAAACCATATTTAAGTCATTCCCTCCAGTTTATCTTCATCGAATAGAGTCTTTTTCTTCTGTCTCCTTTCCTAAAGAAATTCTCGGCTTTATTTGTATCCATTGAAAAAAGTCCCAAAGTTGTTCTGTGAGACGTTGTAAATTGGTCTGAAGCAAATCTTCCCCGATTAAATTTTCCCTCACTGAAATAGCTATCATATCTTTTTTTTCTTGAAGAATTCTCAGCATTGTTAATGTCCATAATGGGAAAGTCCCAAGCTTGACTTCTTAAAAGTTGTGAATCTACTTGATACACTTGTTTCAGTTGCACTGGGAAGATTGAACTCACACCATCATCATAAGAAGAGCTGAAGTCAGATTTATATTCTTTTTTTAACATTTTATTTATATATTTTCACCTTACATACATAAGTGCTTACTGAACAGCGTATTTTCTGGATCAATTTTTATACAATAATGCTTTTCCCACTAGTTTCTACCTCTGCTATGCAACCATTTATAAAACAAGTTCCATGTCGAAAAACATTCTGTATCTTCTTTTTCTTTTATGTTTAGTGTCAGTCCATCCATTTCTGCACAATCTAAATTTTGTTTTAATTACATCGTCCTTTGTAGGAGTTTCCTCATTTTTCCAGTACTGTGCAAATACAATTCTCCAGATATGATAATCTGTTCCTGGTGTCCAACATCTGGTGGACATGCTTTTAAACATTTTTGCTAATCTTGCCGGTGGTAGATGCCACCTATAAAACATTTTATATAAATGCTCCTTATATGTAGTTGCCATTGTCAATTTACAATTTCTTTCCCAAAGCTTTTGCCGTTTGTCTAAATCTATAGCCGCCAAAGTTTTTTGCCCATACTGTCATTGTCATTATATATTTTCTTTATCAACTTTTCATCTACTGCTAACATTATTTGGCCAAATATTGTAGGCTCTTTATAGAAGTCATAATCCTTAATACCTTTCTCATATCTTGATTTTATTTGCATATGCGGCCACCATGATAAGTCCACACCTTGATTCTGTAACTCTTGTTTGGTTTAAGTTCCCCTTCCGCATTTTAAATATTTTTATACGTTAATTTTTTTTCCAGATTTACTACATTTGGATGTAGAAATACTTCCATTGATGAGAGCCAAACTGGAATTTTAATGTAAATTTTCGGTTTCACCTTTTCCCATACTGAAAGTTGAGCATTTCTTATACAGTGTCCTTGAAAGTATTGATGAGTTTTGTTTTTGTTATACCATATAAAAAAACATGCCATCCTAATAGGAGATCATGGCCTTCTAAAAGCAGTAATCTGTTATGTCGAAGAGTTATCCATTCTGGGTTAGACAGTATCACCCCCAGATGGATTCCTAACTGGCTGACCAACAACACTCAACCTGTAGCCCTCAGTGGAACTGCATCTACATGGAGGGAAGTATGCAGTGGAGTACCTCAAAGCTCTGGTTTAGTACTCTCCAGCATCTTCATCAATGACTAGGACGAGGGGATAGATGGGAAATTCATCAAATTTGCAGATGACACCACTGGCAGGAATAGCCAATGCTCCAGAAGATAGGCTCAAGATACAGAAGGATCTTGACAGACTTGAACATTGAGCACTAACAAAATGAAATTCAATGGTGAAAAAAGTAAGGTTCTACATTTAGGCAAGAAAAACAAAATGCAACGGTACACTATATGTGGTGCCTTGCTCAATAATAGGAACTGTGAGAGGGATCTTGGAGTCCTAGTGGACAACCATTTAAATATGAGCCAGCAGTGTACAGCAGATGCCAAAAAACCCAACACAGTTCTAGGCTACTTAAACAGAGGGGTAGAATCAAGATCACGTGAAGTGTTACTACCACTTTATAATGCCTTGGTAAGGCCACACTTGGAATCCTGCATTCAGTTTTGGTCGGCACATTGTAAAAAAGATGTTTAGACTGTAGAAAGAGTGCAGAGAAGAGCAACAGTTGATTAAGGGGACTGGAGGTTTTAACATATGAAGAACGGTGGGTATGTCTAGTTTAATGGGAGGATGGGGACAGAAATCTGACAAGGATGCAGGGGGATGAAGTGATGGGCATTAGTATAGTAAGTGGGAGGGGCAGATATGACGGCTGCAGGGGGCCATATTATGTTTCGGGAGTACGCACTCGATGTTTACGAGCGATTGCTCACTCCGACCCCCAAAGCACTGCTCGTTTCCCGGGTTGTTCAGAGTCTCAGACCCTGGGTCTACGGCTGATGTTATGTAATGCCAGGTCAGTGGTAAATAAAGCCCCCCTCATTCATGATCTTATTTCAGAGGGGTGTGCTGACCTGGCAGGGATTACGGAGACCTGGTTAGGCCAGGAGGGAGGAGTTCCCCTTGTGGAAATGTGCCCGCCAGGTTTCCGTGCATTCCATCAGCCAAGGGCTCAGGGAAGGGGTGGGGGAGTGGCAGCAATCTTTAGAGAAAGTCTTTGCCCGAGGGAGGCCACTGTTCCTCAGATAGCCGGATGTGAGTCCCTCCTTGTGAAGTGGGGTCAGGGGATTCAGATGGGCCTACTGATTGCGTACCTGGCTCCCTGCCACGTAACAGCGGTCCTGCCTGAGCTGCTCGACATTATAGCCGGGGTGGCGGTGGAAACCCCCAGACTTATTGTTATGGGGAATTTTAACCTGCCATCTGCTGGTGAGATGTCGGAGACGGTTCGGGAGTTCATGGCTTCCATGATGGACATGGGCCTGACCCAGGTAGTTCAAGGCCCCACCCACTTGGGGAATCACACTCTGGACTTGATTTTTGTCTCTGATCAGTGGCTGAATGATCTAAGAATAGGGGATATAGACATCAAGCCCTTGTCATGGTCTGATCATTCTCTCCTTCACATGGACTTTCAAGTCACTTCCACCCACCGCAGGGAGACGGAACCAACCAAATGGTTCCGTCCCAGGCGCCTGATGGACCCCGAAAGGTTCCTGATGGAGCTTGGGCCATTTCCTGAGACTCTGGCTCACGACTCGACTGAGGACCTGGTGGTCGCCTGGGACAGGGCGGCTACTGGGGCCTTGGACCGCATCGTGCCTTTGCGGCCTCTGACCCGATGCCGATCTCGTCTAGCTCCTTGGTTTTCCGAGGAGCTGAGAGAGATGAAGCGTCGGAAAAGACGCCTGGAGAGTGATTGGAGGACAAGCCGATCTGAATCTGACCGAACACAGGTGAGATCTTATATTAAGACCTACCTAGTGGCGATAAGAGTGGCGAAGTCTAGCTACTTCTCCGCTCTTATTGCATCTGCAGAGAACCGCCCAGCTGCGCTGTTTAGGGTGACCCGCTCCCTACTTCAGGTGGGGGTACGGGAAGATCCCTTAAAGGGTCGAGCTGAGGATTTTGTACAATTCCTGCATGATAAAGTCGCTCAGATTCGGGAAGGCCTGGACTCCGATTGGGTAGATCCAGGGGAGGAGACGGGGGCAGGTCTTGAGAGCGTTATCTGGGGAGAGTTTGACTCTGTGGCTCCTGAGGACGTGGACAGGATTCTGGGCAAGCTTAACGCTGAAATGTCTGGGATGGCTCGGGAGTTCATGGCTTCCATGACGGCCATGGACCTGACCCAGTTAGTTCATGGCCCCACTCACGGGGGGGGACACACTCTAGACTTGATTTTTGTCTCTGGCCAGTGGTTGAGTGATCTTGTTATAGGGGATATAGACATGGAACCCTTGTCATGGTCAGATCACTCACTCCTTCGTCTGGACCTTCGTACCGCTACACCCCGCCGCAGGGAGGCGGTCCCAATTAGATGGGTCCGCCCCAGGCGCCTGATGGATCCTGATAGGTTCCAGACGGAGCTTGGGCCAATTCCTGATGATCTGGCACACAACTCGGCCGAGGACCTGGTAGCTGCCTGGGATCGGGCGGCTGGTGGGGCCTTGGATCGAGTCGTGCCTTTGCGGCCTCTGACCCGCTGTCGATCCCTCGCGGCTCCTTGGTTCACCGAGGAGCTGAGGGA